GTTCCTCTAAATCAGGGGTGTCCGAAGTGGGTCTTGGAGGCCCGGCATCATGCATGTTTCATTTCTCTCCCTGGTTTAACACACCTGGATCCAATGAAGCTCGTTAGGCCTGAGCAGAACCCTGACCTGCTGAGGAGGCTGTTTCCACCAGCAGGAGAGAATAAAACATGCCGGATGCCGGGCCTCTCTGGAGACCGCTGCTCTAAATGATGAACCATTTCCACAGCAGAGTGAAAAGCTTCAGTTTCATAGTTTCACCAGCAGGAGGCAGCAGAACGCCAACAGGATCTGCTCCAGTGGGTTCTGCTGTTTTGTGGTTCTGGTCCGGTTGGACTGTTACCTCTCTGTAGAGGGCGCTCTCCTGCAGTGTCTCCGTCTCCTTGGCCTGACCCGCCTTCAGGAAGCCAAACCACTGCAGGAGGAAACACATGCAGCTTAATCACCTCAGCCTGTGGATTTCAACGGGTCAGAACCAGAACCGGGTCGGTTACCTCGGTATCGACCGGGTCCACCACGGTGTCCTGCAGGAACTTCACCATGACGAACTTCTGCAGCTGTTGCAGGTTCTTCCTGTACGTCTCATTGACGACCTGAAACAGACGGGATCCGGGTCAGCGGTTCTGAAGTCGGGGCGGCCGGGTCGGACCGTCACAGCTGAGGTTCTGACCCGCTCCTGGTTGATGTCGGCCAGGAAGAGGCTGTGCTGCTTGTACAGGTCGTCGTTGAGCGGGTCGTGCCAGTACTGGGCCTGAACGAGGCTGAAACCCAAACAGAACCGTTACGGCAGGCAGAACCGGGAAACGGGACGGTCGTCATGGTAACTCACTGTTTCTGGACCAGGTCGCTGTAGGCGCCGCGGTTCAGCGCCTCCCGGATCATGTCGCAGATGTGGGAGCTCTCACCTGGACACCTGGGCAGCCCGTACACACCTGAGCGATCAGAGACAGCTCTCTGTTAGACGCCCCGGTTCTGGTTCTGGTTCTGCCTGCTGAAAAAGAGCCACTCCTTCCTACCGTCACTTTGTGCTTGTTCAGGATGAGAATCAGAGTATGTGGGTCTGCTAATGCGCCAATACTGGAGTTAATTTTTCATTTAGCGCTTTAGCATTTTGCTAACTTTGGTAATGTTTAGCACATTTAGCTTCCCCCAAATTAATTTTTCAGATAAATTCTAAAGTGCTAATTTAAAAGGTTGAAGTTAGCACTTTATCATTAGCTTTGGCTAAATGCTAAGTTGGTGTAGCACTGTATTGTTAGGATAACTAATGTTTGTAGTTAGAGCTTTAGCATATTTGCTAACTTTGGAAGCGCGTAGCACACTTAGCTTTCCCTTTTTGCAAAAGTTTCATATTTTTTTCTTTACTTTAAAACCTGAGAATAAAAATAAAAGGGGGGTTCTTTAAAAATATCAATACATTTTCTATAGTGGATGTTTATCAAAATTTATAAGGTGCCTTTTTCTAAAAGTTATGTATCATTTGTGGCTCCAAACAAGTTTTCTTGTGGCTCTTGAGGTAAAATCTGCTAAAAGCAGTGATGGTGTTTCTTCCATACCAACACATTGAAACCTCTGAAACATGAAGCTGAGCTCCTGCAGACTAGCTGCAGCAGAAGTGAAACTCTAGGCAGTAATGTGAAACTCCCAGCAGGAAGTGAGCTAACCGTAGAGTGTACCTTGATGCTGGCCGCCGACGGAGATCAGCGTTCTCATTGGTGGAGAGGGACAGCGCTGAGCCACGGCTCTCCTGTAAGAGCAGAGGACAGGAGTCAGGCGGAGCTTCCTCATTCAGGCTGAAACCTTCTGAACAAACTCCCGTACAGAAACTGGCCTCCCTGGGAGAAACCCATGGCGTTGTAGCCGCCCTGCAGCCGGGCGTCCTGCGCCAGCTGGCTGCACACCATCGACACCTGAGTGTTCACGTCCAGGAAGAAACCGTTCTCCGTGTCCTGCAGGACGAACCGTCACTCTGTTGTTAATCACATTTTAATCAATCTATGGCTGCAAAAATGCATCTTTTTCCATTCCAAACCTCTTCCTGCTGCTTAGTTATTGAATAAATAAACATCTGAGCTCAACAACAACAAACACATTTATGGATTTAATCTGTTCTTCAGGTTCTTCAACCAACAAACTGAAGCAAAAAGTTTCAGGAACTCTGATCATTCATGGAGCTTCTTTAGACGCTACATGTTTAGCATTGAGACGCTATTTTAGGATAGCATAGCTTCACTGATAGGCTAACTTCTTTTAGCACAACTTGCGCACACCAATATTTTCCAGCATCCAATCAGATTGGTTAGAAGCAGAAATTAAAACCCAGAGACTCAGCTTCATCGCTGCTGTTAGCGACGTAGCTGCCGTTCCAGAAACACAAAATATGTATTTCACATATGAACATAAAATACAAAATAGAGACTAATTCTGTTAAAATGTTTACAGCGTTTCAATGGGAATCCGTTGCCATGGGGACTGGTTACCTGGACCACGTTCTTCCCGATCATCAGAGAGAGAACGTAGATCCCTGGGATCTCCTCCTCCATCATCTTCTTTATGGATCCCATACTGAGCGGGTTGCAGCAACTGTCACCTGGAGGACACAGAACCGGAAAAGAACCGGTAACAGAACCAAGAACAGAACCAAGAACAGAACCAAGAACAGAACCGGTAACAGAACCAGAACCGGGGCGTCTAACAGAGAGCTGTCTCTGATCGCTCAGGTGTGTACGGGCTGCCCAGGTGTCCAGGTGAGAGCTCCCACATCTGCGACATGATCCGGGAGGCGCTGAACCGCGGCGCCTACAGCGACCTGGTCCAGAAACGGTGAGTTACCATGACGACCGTCCCGTTTCTGCCTGCCGTAACGGTTCTGTTTGGGTTTCAGCCTCGTTCAGGCCCAGTACTGGCACGACCCGCTCAACGACGACCTGTACAAGCAGCACAGCCTCTTCCTGGCCGACATCAACCAGGAGCGGGTCAGAACCTCAGCTGTGACGGTCCGACCCGGCCGCCCCGACTTCAGAACCAATTTATAACATAATCCAGTAACTTTGTTACCTTCAGTTGTTATAAAAATGCTGTATATCAAATATGACCTATAAGAAATTTGTAATTTAACTCCTTAAAATTGTCTTTTTAAGAAGCTCCTGGTCTTCCTGAAGCTCCGTCTCCAGGAAGTCGTCCCAACATGGCTCCTCTATTAACCCTTTAATGTTTTTACCAGCGTTGCTCTGAGCAGCAGCTCCTGTAATGAGCTCAGCAGATGTTTGCCAATTGCTGCTGGCTAGTCTGAAGGAGCCAATTGGGGGAGGAGCTGCGTCTTGGAGGCAGAGCTAAGTCCACCCAGGCATTTAGCGGCTGAATGGTTGCCATGGAGACTAAAGGATTCCTCAAACACTCTTGGTTTGGTTTTGATGAAGAAAAACATGAAAGCATGATGGAAACATCAGAAAAGTGGATTTTACATGATACCGCCCCTTTAACAGAACCAGTAACAGAACCGGACTGGTAGGAGAACCAGTCAGAGCAGGACGGAAGGATTGATATAGAGCTACCAGAACCGGTACCGGTTCCAGCCTCTCTGGTTCTGGCTCTGACTGTAGTTGGCTGTATTACTCTAGAGCAGACTGACCCATCCCGTGCCACAGAACCAGAGGAACCGTCCCATTGTTGGTGTCAGGAACTGGACCAGAGGCGACCAGCAGCACCGGAGCAGCCAGGGTCAGGGCGAGGAGGACGGCGGCCATCTTGAAACTGATAACACACAAACACAGGTCCGATTAGCAGCTGGAGATCCAGAACCACCTGGAGAACCTCCACAAGTCTAGAGGAGCAGAACATGTTGAAGTGAGACCTCCTGTTTGCACACAAGCTTTGTTGTTTTAATGTTTTCCATCTGTAGTCAAAATAATAAACAGGAAGTACTGTCAGACCCTTATGGGTCCCACTGGAAGCATCGAACCCATAAAGTTTATGTTGAGTCTTCACTCTAAATTTATTTTATTATTTATTAATATAAGTTTTTCATTTTAGTCTTTAGACCAAACTTGATATTTTCTGTCTGACGTCATTTATAAATATTAAATCAAGTTTTATCATCAGTCTCTGTTCCAAACACTTTTTGCCTTTACTTTAGTAAAAAAAATATATTGAAGTAAAAAATTAATAATAATAATAATAATAATAATCCAGTTAATTCATAGAGCACAAATTCACAACAAGTGTCTCAGCAAATAACTCTGCAGGTCAAACAGAACTAATCTACAGACAGGCATATAAAATCCAGTCAATAAAAGTTGACATTTAATCCCAGTTCTAAGACTAGATCTGGGATTAAAGACTATAATCTTAGATCCAGATTATAATTTTATTTATTATTATATGTACAGGAAAACTAGCAGATTGAATCAAGGCACTGACGACAAACCGTCATAATGAAAGGTTGTTGATGATGATGACTCCTGATGTGCCGCAGACTTTAAACCAATCAGCATCTTAATCATTCAGAGTGACTGATCTCAGGTTCTGGTATCAGATTCTGGTTCTGCTCGTTAATCTGGTTCGGACTCGCTCCTGTGTTTAGACTTCATATCTAATCAGCTCCTGGTTCTGGTTCTATTATTAAATCAGCAGGAAAGTCTACAGAATGCCCGATAAGGTCTGTTTGAACGTCTCAGAAACTAAAGATTATTATGGGATGTTACATTAGGTCACTGCGTCGTTTAACAGGAGCGAAATGACCGAAAACAGACCAATTAAAATCAGCTTTTATAGGAACAGAAGCGGCGCTTTGCTCCACTGAAGGTTTAGATTCATCAAATAAAACTTTAAAATCAGATTCTTCTTATTTATTAAACTTAAATAATATTGAAACTGTTATAAAACATGAGAAAACGCAACTCACCGCCTGACTCTACTTCCTGTTTGATGGTTTAGCTGCTGGTCACGTGACTCTACTGTTTGGAGTAAGCAGCCAATCAGAAGCCGGCTGAAGATAAGCTAGTTGTGTTAGCAGCCCTTTAACTTACTGCTCCAGAGGTTCTGAAACACCGAACCCGTCCGGCTGCTGAGCCGCTCAGAACCCGGTCCGCCGACATGTTCTGATTCGGTCCGAAACTCCGAGCTATAATCAACAGGCTGCGGTTCCGGTTCGGGTCGACTGGGTTCCGACAGCCGGGGTTCGGAGGAGGAGCGGGCCCAGTTCTGATCCGGTCCAGAATGAATATCCAGTACGAGGAGCCGACCCTGGGCAGCAGCTACAGCGTGGTGGGTTCGTTCCCGAAGAGCTTCGGTTATGGCGGGGAGGACCAGGACCTGGACCCGGAGGAGTCGAACCCGTCTGCCAGCAGACCCAGAATCCTGCTGATGGGTCTGAGGAGGAGCGGCAAGTCCTCCATCCAGAAGGTACCAAGGTTCTGACCCAGCAGCAGGCTGATCACCGGTTCTGATCCAGAACTCCCTGTGATCCGGACCGACAGGTTCTGGTTCTGAAGATGTTCTGTCTGCATCCAAATCGAGAGGTTCTGTTAAACTTCGACCAGATCAAAGTAACAATTTAATCCGGAGTTCTACTTCAGATTATGACAGGAAATAAGATTAGTTTCCATGACTACCAATTAGAACAAATCAAAGTGAGGATGCGCCATAACTTTCTCCAGCTGAACTGAAACAAAACTGAAGTTATATCTAGAGTTATAGATCTAGAGTCAGCACAGCTTTAGTTATTGCAGCTGGAAACTGACCTCTGACCTCTGACCTGAACCTTCAGAGCCACATAAAGACAGTTCTGTCAGCTGAAGAACATTTCTAATAACTACATGAAGTTTATGATGTTTTTATGTTTTCACGTTGAGCTCCGTGTTCCTGAAATGTGCTCCATAAATAAATGTAATTATTTGAACATGTGGCCCTCTGTGTCCCGGTCCAGGTGGTTTTCCATAAGATGTCTCCCAACGAGACGCTGTTCCTGGAAAGCACCAACAAGATCTACAAGGACGACATCTCCAGCAGCTCCTTCGTCAGCTTCCAGATCTGGGATTTCCCCGGCCAGGTGGATTTCTTCGACCCGACGTTTGACAGCGAGATGATCTTCAAGGGAACCGGAGCGCTCATCTTCGTCATCGACGCTCAGGTAGCAGGTCAGGGCTCAGTCACCTGACCGCCACAGAGCCAATCAGAACAGAGGTTCTGATCGATTATTCTGACAATTAATCTGATGAATTCACATCCTGCAGGTTTTTCATTTAACCACTTAAACTTTTTTTATTCTTTAAGAAAATAAACAATTTAATTCCTTTTTTAAATAAATTAAAACGGTGTTCTGTTGGTGAACGTTTGATCAAAAAGAAAAATCTAACATGAAAAACTCATCTGAACATCAACACAGCGTAGAGCTTAATATCTGATGATCAATTATTGATAACTGATTAATAACTGGACAGAAAAATGTGATAACAGGAGATTTTTTACAGAATGTGAAACTAAAACTATAAAGACTTGAATGCTAAATGTTTACAGGTTGGTTTCTGCTCAGTGTTCTTTCAGTTTGTAACTTTTGTAAAAATATTCTCTACTTCTTTGTTCAAACTGTTGTGTTTGGATGAATCTGAGAAAAAATCTTCATGTTCTCCCAGTTCTAACTAAAAACAACCAATCAGAGCCAGGAGGCGGGTCTTAGAGCTGTCAGTCACAATCTCATGTGGTGCTGCCCAGCCTCCTCTTCCTCTCTGCTACGCTGCAGCTAGCATAGCCTGTCATGAAAGCTAAAGCTAGTTAGCATAGCCATCGATGACGGTGGATAAACGGTTTTCCTGTAACGGTAAGTTGTTTCTCTGCACATTTAGCAGCAATTACAGGAGGATTGAGTGACAGCGCTAAGCCCCGCCTCTTGGCTCTGATTGGTTCTTTTTACTGCAGCTTTAAGCAGGTCAGTCTGATTAATCGTTTCAGTCGTAGAGCAGACGCTTGGTTTGTGTGAATCCTGCAGATCAGCGGTTTCTTGAGTTCCTCTCGGCTCTCCTCCAGCATCGTTCTGTAGTCCTCTATCGATGCTTCCTGGATTATAATCTGCTGTAATCTCCAGGACGACTACATGGAGGCTCTGGGCCGACTGCACCTCACCGTCTCCAGGGCCTACAAGGTCAACCCAGACATCAACTTCGAGGTTTTCATCCACAAGGTGGACGGACTGTCTGACGACCACAAGATCGAGACGCAGCGAGACGTCCACCAGCGAGCCAACGACGACCTGGCCGACGCCAGCCTGGACAAGCTGCACCTCAGGTGAGCCGGACCGGACCGGAACCGGCTCGTCTGGACCGCTTCTGATCGTCTCCCTGCTCCGATCCGCAGCTTCTACCTGACCAGCATCTACGACCACTCCATCTTCGAGGCCTTCAGCAAGGTGGTGCAGAAACTCATCCCTCAGCTTCCCACCCTGGAGAACCTGCTCAACATCTTCATATCGGTAGGTTCCAGCGCCGCCGCCATGCCGGGTCCAGTCCGGTCCGGTCCCTAACATCCGGTCTGCTCTGCAGCACTCAGGCATCGAGAAGGCCTTCCTGTTTGACGTGGTCAGTAAGATCTACATCGCCACCGACAGCTCGCCGGTGGACATGCAGTCCTACGAACTCTGCTGCGACATGATCGACGTTGTCATTGACGTTTCCTGCATCTACGGGTGAGCAGAACCGGACCCGGTCCCATCAGAACTTCACCAAGATGGTTCTGATTAGGGATGCAAGTTACAGATTAATGAGCTGATCTAAAGTTGATTGATAATCGGCCATTTTCTTAAAGAGCTTTTCTTGAATCTACAAAAGGACAAAATAATATCTGGAATTACAGAATTATTTTGTGTCTGCTGTATTAAAAACTGACTGAATAAGCAGAAAAAGGTGGTTTTCTCACATCAATAAAATTACAAATATTCATAAAATATAACAAAACAGAAACCTCTAAGATTGCTGGATAGAAAAATACAAAGATGAAAAGAATAAAATATGTAAAACTCATAATTCCTGATCATCTGGTTGCTTTTTTTTTTTGGTCCATTAATTCACGACAGACCTCAAAATCAACCGAGCTCCAATTTTTCTGCTCCGTTTCACAGAAGGGAAACTGGACGAACCACAGCAGCTATCGCCTCCGTTTTTCTGTCATAATTTGCCTTCTCAGCAGATCTGTAATTTTTAATGGAGAAGTTGACGTTATAAATTATGGAGAAGACTTATGGATCTTGCTGAGACTTTATCTTTCAAAACTGAACCACTTAAAAGCATTTTACTTCCCAAACCAAACTCTTTCTGGTGTGCCCGCCATTTTTTTTTTCTGGCTCTGCTTCAGGATGACCAGCAGTGCCCCCTGCTGTCTGGAGGCCAAACTAAAACAATGAAACAAGGTGTAAGTGGAGGTTATTAGATAAAAGATTGGAACTACTTTTAATCTAACAAATCATTAATTGACAACCAATTGTAATTCAACTAAATGTATCCATAGTTTTGTAATGTTTGGAGTTGGTTCTGTTGGTTTTGATGATTTTGTTGGTTCTGATGGTTTTGTTGGTTCTGATGGTTTTGTTGGTTCTGATGGTTTTGTTGGTTCTGATGGTTTTGTTGGTTCTGATGGTTCTGTTGGCTCCTCCAGGCTGATGGACGGCGGCGCCTACGATGACCAGTCTCTGGCCATCATCAAGCTGAACAACTCCACGGTTCTCTACCTGAAGGAGGTCACCAGGTTCCTGGCTCTGGTCTGCATCCTGAGGGAGGAGAGCTTCGAGAGGAAAGGTCTCTGAGCGCTCCGCTCTCACTCTCACCTGCTGCTTCATTTCACTCTGTTGCTCCAACGGTCCGGAGAATCTGGAGAAGAAAATGGCTGATGGAAAAACATGTTCTAGACTTCAGTCCTTCCTTGTGTCCTTCTCTCCTTCCTCCGTGTGTCATAAGGTGTGAGGTGTTGGTGGTGAGGAGAGACGCTGAGACCCAGGTTATGGTGATGATGATGGTTTAATGAAGAGATAAGCTCAAAAACAGTCCAAGACAGGCAGCACGGCGAGACGCAAGCACACAGCTAAATACCGGTAGCAACTGTCAAACGGACTAGACGGAGCAAACACAAACCACAATACATACGACGCCTTATGACAGTAGGATCTGACCATACAGAAGGTGAGAGACGCATGATGCGGACTAGACGGTGGAGCGCTTGGCGGTGGTTCGGAGAAGTTCCGCTGGAGGAGTTTTGTGGCGGAGCTCTTCTGTGGAGATCGCGGCTGGCGATCCCCCTGCCTGGAGTGGAGCAAAGCCGTCACCGCAGCCCTGAGCCGCCGGAGGTCCCGGTCCCTGGGCCCCGCCTGCAGCTGCCTCCGGTCCCCGCACCGAGGCGGCGTTTGCTTCCGCCCCCAGAGTTTCCCGAGTCTGCTCCGTGCGGGCAGTTCCCCGCTCCAGCGTTCCCCGAGCTTCCAGAGTTCCCTTTGGCTCCGCCCCCCGAGTTTGCGGACAACCCCGATCCCCCAGAGTTTCCAGAGCCCGCTCCGCCCGAGCCTTCAGCCGGCCGTCCTGCCGGCCCTCCAGAGCCTCCTCGCCTCCTGCGCCGGCGACGCCCGCCGGACCCGCCCAAGGGGGTCCGCTTCCTGCGCCGGCGGAAGAGACCGCCGGACCCGCCTCCTAGCTTCCTCGCTTCCTCGCCCACCCTGATGGGTAGTTTTGTTTTGTGTTGGACTGTTTTTGGTTCTGGACTCTAACCCGCCTCCCATCGCCCCTCCGCCCACCCTGTTGGGTCGTTTTTGGTTTTTTGGACTCTTCTGTTGGGCGTCTGGTAGCCGCCCCTTGAGGAGGGGGTACTGTCGTGATCTGTGTTTCTGTGTGTTTATTTTTGAGTTCTTCTGTGTTCAGTCCTGTTTTCCCTGTGTAGTCCTGTTCCCTGTGAGTCTGTCCTCCCTAATTGATGCGTCGAGAAGAAATAATGTCTTAATACTTTTTACTTCTTTAACATTTTAAAA